AAGAGGGAAGAGGGAAGAGGGAAGAGGGAAGAGGGAAGAGGGAAGAGGGAAGAGGGAAGAGGGAAGCAGGGAGCAGGGAGCAGGGAGCAGGAGAAGGAGAAGGAGAAGGAGAAGAAGAAGAAGAAGAAGAAGAAGAAGAAGAAGAAGAAGATGAAGAAGAAGAAGAAGAAGATGAAGAAGAAGAAGAAGAAGATGAAGAAGAAGAAGAAGAAGATGAAGAAGAAGAAGAAGAAGATGAAGAAGAAGAAGAAGAAGATGAAGAAGAAGAAGAAGAAGATGAAGAAGAAGAAGAAGAAGATGAAGAAGAAGAAGAAGAAGATGAAGAAGAAGAAGAAGAAGATGAAGAAGAAGAAGAAGAAGATGAAGAAGAAGAAGAAGAAGAAGAAGAAGAAGAAGAAGAAGAAGAAGAAGATGATGATGATTCTCCAGTCCTTGGAGGAACAAACTGTTCTCCAGGCTGGCTTGTTCTGCAACGGCATTCTGGAGAAGCCTTTCAGCTTACCCAAATGAGGTTCTCAGAGCAATTGAGGGCCATCCTCCTGATATATATTTAAAACCAAACCAAACCAAACTATCGTTGACTAGTCAGAAGAGGAAAAGGTGAAGGTGTCAGAGCCCACTTTGTTTCCCCCCGCCCCATTTTGGAGCTCAGGGTTGGTTTGTCTCACCAAGAAAGTCAAGGGTGGCTGACATGCACGTTTTATTTAACTTTTCCTCTGTCAAAAGGAGTTTAAATGGGTAATGAACAGGCTGCAGCGATCTGAAATATAATTCCATTACTCTGATGAGATTACTAAGGCTGGGAGAGTTCACAAATCATGCTTAGGGCTTTTTATAACTGGCATCACCCTACTGAGATTAAAAAAACAAGCCGAACTAAGCCATTTAAAGGAAGAGGTGCACCGTGAGAATGAAACAGGGCAGAATCGCTTTAACCCTTTCGTCACCTGGCCCTGAACCAGCTTTCTGCCTGGAAGATGACGCAAGGAAAGAAGTTCCTCCTGTGGTTGCGAAGGGCGATCTGCAGCTGTGCCTGTTTGAGCCGACCTTAAAAGGTCTTAAGAATCCTTTGCGGTCCGGAAAAGACCCTGTTCAGTTTCCCTAAGGACAAAATAAAAACCAAAATCAGCAAGGCCTGGCGTGCAGAAGAGGGTCACGAAAGGGAACAGACTGGGCCACGTTGTTTCTTTTCCTGTAATTTTTCTACCGACGGGGATTGTTTGGGACGTGGTTTTCCCACACGTGGGAGCATTCAGACGGGCTGGGGTGTGAGATTGCTGCACGATCCAGCTTCCATGTTCCTAGAAGACAAGATAGTCCAGGGAAGATATTAATTACACATAACATAACAGGACTCACTATCAGAGCAGGTTGGCTTAGTGCCAATTAAAAAAAAAAATCTAGTCCACAGGACTGGCGAGATCAGCTTGAAAATCTTTGGCTTGTGCTGGGTTAACCTGAAGAAAACGAACTTGGAGTTATATGCCCTGGCCGGTCTATATTTGCAAGGCTGCACGCAGAGAGAGGAGACGGAGACTTGGATTTTTCTGAACGCTTCTGTTCACGTGGGCTGACGGCCACCCTCCCGTGGGTATCCCAGCCAGGATCCTCTGCAAGCAGCAAAGCTCCTTGTGCACTGGCAGGAATGTGCCATGGCAGGGGAGGCCTCCGCAAGCCGAGCTGATGGAAGGGGTGGGGGAGAGGGGGCCCCCCGCGACGCAAAGCTTGGGAACCGCGGCTTCGCCGCAGTTGCTTCCTCCCAGGAGAACCCCACGTCTTACTCCTGGCGCTTCGTCAAAACTCCAGCCCGCTCCAAGGAATGGCAGAGGCCGCGAAGGCGGCTGTTTGGCACCGGGGCTGATGATTTAAGCGGCGTTAATTTCAGCCGAAGCTCCCACCTGAAATGTAGCAACAACTCTGAGAGGCGGATTCCCCTGGAAATTCATGGTTCCATTACAGCCGTGTCTGGGTGAATAACGGCCCCCATTAATCTTTGCCAGGCTGCGCCCAAGTATCGCCTTAATGAGGCTCATTCCTGCCTCCCGTTTCTGCCAGAGGTTGGGCTGGGGAGTTGGAGTTCTGCCGCATCCTTGGTGCGAAAAGCCCTTTGTGGCAAGCCAAGAGCAAGCCAGGGCATGAGAACAGGCAAGGATTCCGTCTTCTGGTTTAGGACTGCCTCCTGGGATCCCTGTACAAGGAGAGCGTGGCGCGGTGGGATCAAATTAAGCAAGGCTGCCCGTGCAGGTCTGGATCTTAACCCCTGATCAGCGGATCGATGAGGGTCTGCAGAGGGCTGATCAAAATCTCAGAAGGCAGGGCTGAGATTGAGATTCGGGGCCAGGACTCCTAGCAGAGCTGGGGAGTCCGGGACCTCTAGTTGGGGTCATGCCTAATTTATTCAAGGTTGCCAGCTGAATAACTCTGGAAATTAAGGAACAAAATTTCAGTGAAATAAAACGCTCAGGAATTGTCAGCCGTCCTCTCATTTCTGAAAGGCTGAGCAATCTCCCGGTCACTCAAGACCTCTCCTGAGAGACATCCTCTTCTCCCCGCCAACTCTGAAAAAATCCGGAGACCAGGCCCCAAACGTGTAGAGAACGTAACAGTACCCTCATGGAAAGAACCAAACATTGCCATAGACCTTGAGAAAGAGTATAAGGAATTTATTAGTAGTAAAAAGGGGTACATTTGTCCTACAAGTTGGCTTGGTGGAGGGTTCCCCCCCCAAAAAGAAATTTGATCACATCACCAGCGATCGCGCTTGGGGAGAGGGGGGATGTGTCTGAGAAGGCGGGGAGGGGGGTGATACAGATCGAGCCCCTGTCAGGATTCAGCCTCTGTCTGGGCTCCTTGTAGACTGCCTGGCCAGCCTGCGGCGGCTTTCCCACCAACTCTAGAGAAGAAAGAGTTCTAGAAAAACAAACCAACTCCAAAAAAAAAAAAAAAAAAAATCAAATGTGACATCAAGCCTAGACGGGCCCCTTCCTGGAGGCCTTGAAAGCAGCCCGTCCTCTCTCGGGTTGATATGGCTCTTGATTTCCATCAGAGGACAACACCCGTGGCCAGAAGCGGCCTTGTCATGCTGATCTGTAAAAAGAACATTCGCAACTCCGGTTGGCGGCTAGCAACCAGAACGCCAGAACCCCTTCCTGTCCCAGGCAACTGAGGGCATCATCTCCTGCTTGGCCCCGAGCAGACAGTGTCTCTTCAGTTTGGCTCCAGGCCAGCCTAGCCTTTATTGCTGTCCTGTTTTCTTCTCCTTCTGGAAGCTGAAGCTGGTCCTGCGACTCAGTTTCCTTTGCTTCTGGGCCAGGTAATCTGCACGGGCTGTGCTTGCACGAGATTCAAGGATGTAGTTCACCTTAAAGAAACAGGTGAGAAAGAGAGGGGGAGAGAGAGAGAGAAAAAGGCTGTTCAGAGTTGCATGCAGCCAAGAAGGCTGGGTTATGACTCCAAAGGTGCTTTTATGCATGGTACTAAAATCCTGATTCCTGCGCTGGTTTAGCAGTGTATAGGGTAAGGACGACAGCCTGGATGGAGATATGCAAGATCTGTTGCCAGTGTGACAGGGCGGGGGGCGAAACCTATTTAAAGTCTACAACAGACAGATAATATTTGGAAGTGGCTTGGGCAGACACCTCCCTGATTCGCAGGAGTGTAAGAAGGGGGAGAAGGAACAGCACAATCAGGCTTGCAAGATGCTGTTATGATAGCCCATCTCAATAAAAGTCGTTTTCCTGGTGGAGTTGATTTCCTGCTCTGGTCTGTCTGGTGGGGCTGACAAGTGGGGGATGATTTCAGAAAGGAATTGCTTCAGCAGAAGCAGGACTGCAAGAGCTCCCAACGAGGGTGGCACGTAAGGTCCAGCAATTGAACTGATAAGCCTTGGGCTGTTCTGGTGTGCCGCCTTAAGGAGGCAGCTTTTGATCCCAGAACTCTGCTTTCAAACATTGCCTACTCAACCCTGGAGCCCTCCTTCACACAACCCTAACCTTTCAAATCTTGTTCACCATTTTTATATTCATAAGGCTGGAGGGCAAAACATGGAACCTGGAGGCCACATATGGCCTGAAAGTTGTCTGTGGCCAATTTTCCTTTGTGGCCCAGGAGTGGTGGGGCCTAAGATCTGTTTTTTTTTTTTTTTTTTTTTTTTGCATTTTTGGAATTTTTGAGAGGGATGTTAATGGCAAAGTGGATGCTTTAAGCTCCAGAAGGCAATGCTAAAACAGCGGGCAAGAAATCTCTCTCTGCTTGGGTAATGGGTGAAAAGTGATATTCCTCAGTTCTGTCAGTTGTAGAGCAATTCAGTAAGCTTTACATGAGAAAAAGAAAAAAAAACCCCACACTTTCAGTTAAGGACTGAAAATGGCACATAAAACTTGTCACTCAAAAAAATTTAAATTGCCATAAAAAGAATAGCAGAAAGTTCCATTTAACCTTTTGGCAGCATTAGTGCCTGCGCTTTGGAAAGTAAATTGAGCGAAGGCTAAAACTGGCTGCGCTTCCTTAAATGAAGAGAAAGAAAACAATTGCAGTCATGGAGCCCTCTTTTAGGAACAACAGGAATGGAAATATTTGAATGGAAAGGGTGCATAAACAGGTGGGACCATCATGAAGATGTAAAGAACTGAACGCTTGGACTTAATGTTCTTCCACCTCCTACAACCCAAAAGTTAAATCAGAAAGATGTTCCCCCAGTTTTATTCCAGTGTTAGGAGAGCGGGTGGACCTTTTAATGGAGCATGCTTGACATCTTTTTAGTAAGAGAATCAGGGGCAATAGACAAGGAGCTGCAGTACAAGGGAATGCACGATTAAGTATGTCCACCTTGGCTCAGACATGGAAGTCCCCATTCATAGCAAGAGGTAGAGTTTGGCCAAGCCTGCAGACTGCCAATGGGGAGGAGAGACAGTGAGATAGGTAGGCTCTAGGTAGGTAATAGAGATGGGAGATGGGAAAGGGAATTGTGTCTCTGTTGCTACCAAAACATGACTTGCGTTCTGCATGAGTGACATTCTGTTTGGCTCCTGCAAGACTTGCGCAGGCAGAGAGATGCATGGGCAACACGGTGATTGGAACATAATGGAGTGTATCCAAGAAAATCAGATCTAGCCCTGTCCGTGCAGCAAAGGACTGTTGGTGGCATTGAGTATCTGCTGTGGCTTCCACCTCTTCTCTGAAGACTCAGATACAGTTCACCTAAACAGCTGTTTCCTGAAAAGAAACCTCTGTATGCCTATAGCCAGCCTTGAAGCTACCACTGGCAGAAGGCACAACCTCGTCCTGTTTTTTTGAGCAACAGGAAGATCAGCATGAAATAGCTGTCTCTTTTGCTTTTACCTGGACAGAAACAGGAGCCAGAAGTGGGCCGATAACTTCCACAGAGGCATTCAGAGCTTTCTGTCCAAAGGACAAGGATTTTATGGAGGCTGGACTTTAGTGAAGGGCTAATCGAGATCAGAAAGAGATTTGTCTCCAAGTCAACAGAGGAGAGTCCTCTTAGGCCCTGGGACTCAGGAAACTTTAGGGAGGTAATATCTGGTCACTGAGGCCAGGCAGTGTCAATTGCTTGCTAGACATCTCGACCAGGACATGGCTTTCCTATGAACGTTGGTTTCTTCAGCTCAGGCAACTGAGTTTATGACATCGCAGGATTGTGCAGTATCTCTCTTGCTATCCTATTGGAAAGAGCTAGGTAGAAGTCAAATTGAACTGTCACTTGGCTGACAACCCAAGTTTAGAGTTTCATGGTTGCTCCCCTGTGTGTTACTTCCGTTTCCTGCCTCTTCTTCCCTCACATTTTGGCTACTGGCACATTTGCCTCCTCTCCACTTTCCCTTCCAAGTCTTCCTGTCTGCTTTCGGCCACCTGCATCCTCCCTGCCTGAACCTGTTAGTGTTCACAACTGAGAACTTAAGTCTCCTGGGGATTCTTCCTTCTTGTACAGGGAAGGCAACCACAGTGGGCCTGCAACTCCCAGCGGTCTCAACCAGCCTAACCAATGGTGGAGGAGGCTGGGAATCGTAGGCTGGCAACAGCTGGAAGGCCCTCAACGCCTACCCTCTGGCAACTGCTGGTGCATAGGCATCTGGAATTGGGTACATCACCACCCCATGCGTCCCCTTCACTCTACCTTCAGCACAATCTCGTTGACGGTGGCGGCGTCCGACTCAAAGTAGAGATGCTTGTAGTCATGGTTGCTTAGATATGTGAGCTTAAATATTGCATGACCTGCAAGGAGTTAGGAAGAAGAGGAGAAGGGGAAAAGGACACAAGGAACAAAAATGTGAGATTGACAAAAGGGACGTTTTAGAGTTTTTTGTGTACAAATATGCATTTTAACCAGTTTTTCCCAAAACAGATCGGTTCAGACACAACTCTCAATGCAGACCAACCATCATGGACAATGGCCACGTGAGAGAGAGGGTGAGCTGTCTCACTCAAATTTAAACTCTGATGACAGTCTAAAGCACGTGGCGTTCACTCTAGCGGTATTTTAAGAAAAGAAAGAAAAGAAAGAGCAGGTTGTTCCCGTACACTGTGTCGCACTTGGCAAGCTCTTGATTCAAAACAAAAAAGTCAAAAATGACTTCTGCAGAGAAGCAACGGCCGCCTCCTTTGGACAGGTGGATAATCTTGCTGCATTTCTGCACATGTTTGGGTCTTCAAAACCCAACCACGTTTTACGCAAAGGCAGGATGGAGTTTCCCACACTGTTTGGAGGCTGCGTACAAGGAGAGAAGATTAAGTGTGGCGTCCGGAGACCCAGCAACTGAGATTCTCCTCCCCAATGACCCTACACTAGATTTCTGCTTTCTACCTTGCAGCTTGTTGTGAGGATAAAATGGGGGAGCAGGAGGAAGCTGGGGTATAAATGGAACATTAAGGGTGGCCTGCCAATACTGAATTCATTCTTGCCTCCTGGCCATTTCTCTTTCACATGGTTTGGGAGTTGTCACTCCAGAAACCTTCAACAAGCTCAGGGTGGGCATGACAGAAGTGTGTGCTTGTGTGTGTGTGTGGGGAAGGACACACAGATGGTGATCTTTGCATACCATCGGCAGAACAGACGGTGAGAGGGAATCTGACATCCTTCTTATGTCATTTCAATTTCAGGCACGGGGGTGGCTTTTTGGGAGAGGCGGAGCTTCTCTGCAAAGGCTTCAGTTCTCCCCTCCTCAATATCGCTTCCCCGGGAAAATGGGGAGGGGAAACAAATATCAACCCCCAGCAAGTTGGGGCCCAGAGGGCTTCTGAACTGCTTTTTTCAGCCTAAGGAGGGAAGTCTGCGGTAAAACAGTTGCCGTCTTCTCTTTAAAAAAAGAGAAGAGAAGGTTAAAAATGGATTTCACCCCAGAGTGATTGCAGTTGATACAGATTAAGCAAAAACCACAGACAGCTACATAAGCCTAATGATAAAAACTAGGAAATGCTGCTGCACTTAAGAAAGGAGACAGGTCTTGTTGAAGAAGATGAAACTGCGATTGGAGTGTTTTTACTGACTTGGGGCCTTGGAAAGAGAAAGAGCAAGGAAGGCTTTTCTCCACCGCTGACTTCTTGTTGGAGTCCCAGTACTGGATATTTAGCAGGGAAAATATGCCAGTGTTATGGAGCCCAGCTTCATCCTCCAAACTGCAGGAAGAAGACCTGTTAGCCTTCTTATTTGAACAAGAGAAGAAGTTTTAAAAAAGAAGAGTCGAAACTTGCCCCCAGATGCATACACCTGTGCACACATACAACCCTAGGCTGAAGTTTGTGGCCCCAGCTCTTCTGATCCCACTGCATTGCTATCATTCCCCTGAAGTTCTTGGATGGATGGATGGATGGATGGATGGATGGATGGATGGATGGATGGACACACATACACACACACACATATGGAAAAAATATGGACCATGAAAAGTTGCTCTTTTGGTTTTAAAAGTATTTGGAGAACCAACTAACAATCTGTGGACATATTGGTGGACAGCCACTAAGAAAACCTACATACTCACATTTAGTAAATGGCTAGCTCAGCCACTTGATAGTGGGCATGGAGAACTTCTAGACCATCCAGCCCATAGGAATCATTGGGTTGGCGACCTTCCCATGGCACCCCAACCCTTCTGACAGGCCTACCTTTGTTCCCCTAGCCCTGGAATAGCTGTAACCTGAGCTTGCTTGCTTGTGGTCAAAATGGCCTCCTTCTTTACCAGTGGGAAGAAAAATAAATAAATCAAGAGCTATTACTGACCTTCTTAACTGTCCCACAAACACTTCTGTTGACCACAACTTAAGAAACTCTTATAAACAATGGATGTTTAAAAGAAAATTCATGCACTGGCAATTAAGATCTAACATATTAAGCCATTCTCTCCATTTTTTAAAAAAATCATTTGGTCCAAAGGTCTGAATTAATTCATCTACAGAAATAGCCTCATCATTTTAATGGAGATTTATCTACTTTTCCCGGAGGGGACCAGATTTGAAATCTTATTTACAGTAGCTAATTCTCCAAATCACCCCAAATAAACTGATATATGGCCAGCAAACTGGAGACCTCAGTATTTCATCACGGCATGTTAATTAAACCCTATTATCCCAGGCTAATCAGGAATTATGAATTCTCCACTGAAAATTGGCAAATGATCAAAAACAAAAAACCCCAACAACCCAAACTTTAAATCAGGGAAGCAAAAGTGCTACCGGGCTGTACTAAAAGAAAACTATTCTTAACTAGGTGCAGACAAAGCCTGAATAATAATAATAGTTATAATAATAATGCCACCACCACCACCACCACCTCAGGGCGCTCACATGTCTTTTATTAATGTGGGAGTATGTGCCATTTTATTGCTCTATTGTCTACCTAATATGCTTTGCAAATTTATATTGATTGGTCAATGCTTGTAACAAGGAATATCTATCTATCTAAAACATTTGGGGCTCCCTCAGTTTTGCACAGGTACGAGTGCAGAGAAGCCAAGTGCGGAACACAAATGTGCAGAATTTTCCGACTGTGAAATGACTCCTGTTTTAGAAGTCATTGTCTGCATACCTCTGCTTTCTCAAATGGGATGAATGGTTCCCAGAAGAGCCCCTCATCAGTGGTGCCCAAACTACAGGACTCCCTATTAAGATCTGGTACCACCTTTGCTATTCTTTAAGATCTGATTCTTCTCCTACATCTTTAACATACAACTGCTTAATTTTTTGCAGGCTGAGGGTAACAAGGCAGCCTCAGGGAAGGGGATGGGAGCTGCCTGGTGGTAATGAGAAAAATAGGTATGGCCAAAGCTGAAAGTGGGTATGTCCAGAAGAAAAACATTATCCTTCATTTCTTTCTTGTAGCTTTAAAACACTAAGTTTAATGGTTTGTCAAAAATTGGCAGCATATAAAGGCATAATGGGAAGGCCACTGGCAGTTTTGGGCTATAGACAGTGCGCACGAGTCATATATTTCTTCATGGGGCTCCAGCCTCCCAAAGGCAAGCAACGCAATATGGATACAGCTGACCCCAGGGAGAAAGGGGAGGGCCCCTGGAAAAAGGGGGTGGCAGCCTAGTGGGTAGATCTGACTCAGAGGCCAGCCAGTGACCCACCATTCCATTCCAGGCAGGCTGTTAGCAGAGAGCCTCTGCCCAGCCTCCGACTGCTGACCCCCTTCTTGCTTTTAAATCTGGTGATTTATCTCGCCTTTTCTACTTTGGTATTTCACAGCTGACAGAAGCAGAACGCGGAACTTTATTTCAAATTCTTATTTTTAGCTTTTTGAAAGAGTCAGCCCTTTTTGGAGGCCATTACGGAGTCAGAGATGTCAATAACGCTTATTGTGCAGAGAGTAACAGGAGGCTGGGGTTTCAATCCATCATGGACGACACATCTCACTAGCTGTGCATGCCTGCACCTGTCAGAGGAAGAGATCTGTCTTCTGCATCCAGGATCTTCTAGAACCTTTGCTATATTTCTGTTTGCTTACATCCAGATATTTAAAAGGAGTTATCCACATTGGAATAAAAGCTTTCAAGTCCAAAGTTCACATCCAACACCAGATTTTCTCCCCAGGCACACACCTGCCCTTGCGTGTTTGGGATGGAGAAATCCTTGTGGTCATCCTTGAACAAAGAGATGCCAATAGGTGTACTTGATCTGGGATTTTTACCAATTTCAGGAGTCTCATTTTGAACTTAGAAGTGTTCTGCCTTCCAATCAGTTCCAAAGCCCAGGTTGAGCCTAGTGATATTAATGTTAACTTTTGTCAGAATTTAAATAGCATGTCCATTTGTTTCAGCAAACTTCTTTCATCTTGTCAGCCACTTGTGAAAAAAACAAAAAACGAAAAACACCCTACAAACTTGTTATTTATTCAGATGGCTTATTTTTCTTGGCAGCTGAAAAGTGTCTTGCAAAAATAACCCTCCTCAGAAGAAGGAGGGCCATGCTATAGAGGTACACAGCCAGAAGAAATTTAGGAGACAAGAGTCAAAAAGATAATTCCCCAAAGGAGGATGAAGTTTTATATCCTTCCATGTCCAAACCTCACATGGCTAACTGGATGAAAGGTATTGTTCTTAGTATTGGCCCGAATCAATCTGCTGTAGGATCTGCTGTAGGTCCTTTCATTGAAGGTTATGGACTATTATCTACCACACTGGTCCAATGTGGGTTGATAGATGGATGTTTTTTGACTTCCAGTCTAGGGCTGAGAAGGAAGGACTGACCCAAAGTCACCCGGCTGGTTTCCATGCTCAAGGGTAGACTAGAACTTGTGTCTCCCTGCTCCAAGTGCAGCACTGTTGTGTGTATGTGTGTTGTGTGAAAAGCAAATGGAAACGCTATTGGCTGGGTTTGGGACAAGTATAGGTTCCTGGTTTGCAAGGGGGGCAAATTTATTTATATTCTCAGGAGTGCTTCGGGTGTGTGAAATATGGCCCCCAATCCTCTTTTTGGTGGAATACCACCCATAGAGAAGATCAAGATGGATCTGGATGTTTTAGTCCTCAAGGATGGAGCGCTGATTATGGAGTGCATTCAACATGCTGGTTTGGGTCAAATCAGCTCCTATCTATTCTTAAATGTGGGATGTTGCTGCTGAAGCAAGACTGGGCTGTAGATTGACCTATTCCAAGGGAATGTTAAGGTATCCATGACCTAGTCCAGGGATTTTTCTAAGAAGCCCAAGCTCCAAAAAGAGGTGCCTTGAATCAAGAGCTGGAGCCCGAGGCATATAAATACTGACATCTTAGGAGTGA